ACACACAAGACAAGTACGAACATAAGTTAGTACATCCTCTTTCAATCCCTTCCATTCAAAGCGTTCTCTAACTTCAGCGTAGGTTTTCTTGAAACCAAAATGACCTTCGGCGTTGTGACATTCCCCAATAATCAGACTTTTGATTTCTTCCTGGTGAGGAATACACAATCGTTGTTCAGTTTGGTCTAACAAGAAAAGCAAACCATCAGTTATATCTTATAATTGGGAAGTAGACTCGAGTCTTTCACAAGGACATCCATGATAGGTTTCCATATAGGATCATTAACATAGCCTTGGCGAATTCTATCTTTCAGATCATTCCCAACGTCTAGGTAAGAGACAATGGCACCAAAAAAATCACATCTTCGAGACAATGCATCTGCAACCACGTTAGACTTACCTTTGATAGTGTTCAACTCAAAATCAAAAGTATCAATGAATGCAGACCATCGTACTAGCTTATCACAGAGCCTAGGCTGTGTCTTTATCCACTTCAGGGTAGAGTGGTCTGAGTACACAGTGAAGTGTCTCCCTAATAGATAGTGTTTCCAGGTGTCTAAGGCACAGACTAACGCATACAATTCTCTTTCATAAGTAGAATTGGCAACTTTTTTAGATGGCAATCGTGCAGACATAAACTCAATCGGTCTGTAAACCATTACCGTCGTTTTGTTGAAGAACTGCGCCAATCCCATACTGACTTGCATCAGTTGTGACAATAAAGGGAAGAGATGGATCAACAATTTTCAGAACAGGGTAGTGAGTCAGAGCGTACTTTACCTTTTTGAACGAGGACTCACTATCCTTGTCCCACAACCAGATCGTTCCTTTCTTTAACAATCTTCTCATTGGTGCAGCGATCAATGAGAAGTTCTTGACAAACTTCCTATAGTAGCTTGCCAAGCCAAGAAAAGATCGTAACTCAGTTACAGACTTAGGTTGTGGCCAGTCTCTAATTGCTGATATTTTCTTTTCTTCAGGCCTGAGGCCATCTTGGTTCACTATATGTCCTAAGTATAAAACTTCAGACTTAGCGAACTCAGACTTCTTCAGGCTGATTTTGAGGCTATCTTCTCGCAACTTACTCAAAACCAGACGAAGATGGTTTTCGTGCTCTTCCAGTGTTTTACTATACACGAGAATGTCATCCAAATAGACGATGACAAACTGATCCAACCATTGACCAAATAACTCGTTCATTGACCGTTGAAATGTAGCAGGAGCATTAGTCAATCTGAAGGGCATTACCATAAACTCGTAATGGTCATACCTGGTCCGGAAAGCAGTCTTATGTTGATCCGCGGGCTCTACCTCGATCTGATGGTACCCAGACTTCAGATCAATTTTACTGAAGTACTTGCATCCTTGTAGTTGGTCAAGTAAATCGTCGATGCGAGGGAGTGGTTCGGCATTCTTGACAGTGACGGCATTCAACCCTCGATAGTCAATACATAGACGCAATTCACCTTCCTTTTTGGGCACAAACAAGACAGGTGCTCCATAAGGAGATGAACTAGGGCGAATCCATCCCTTATCAGTAAGGTCCTGCAGTTGCTTCTTTAACTCCTCAAGTTCCCTGGAAGACATTCGATAGATAGGGCCCTTGGGAATTTTAGTACCCGGAATAATCTCAATAGTATGCTTTATAATACGTTCAGTAATTTCGGTGGGTTCTTTCTGCAGATCCTTATATTCTGAGAGAAGACTTTCAATCGTCGGAGGACAGGAAGAAGAAGACTCACCGACTTTCTTTACTGGCACCATCATAACTTCCTGTTCCAACTTTTTCTTAAAAACCATTGAACGAAAAGCTGGGTAACTCATACAGCAAAAGGATAGACTTGAGTCAGAGCTAGACTTATGATATAATTTAATTGGTTTCATTTCTGATCGCGCATCTTTGAGTTGCACAATCTTGTTTTTGAAATCAATATCTGGGTTGGCTTCTTCATACCAGTCCATACCCAGAATGATATCAAAAGGTAAATTCTTTTCTATGAGGAAGGTTAGTTCATGCACAATCTTCTTTCCTTCCTTCGTTCGAAACTGACACTTAATACGATCAACAAACTGAGAAACAGTGATCGTACTCTTGTCTGCTAACATAGACGTTATAGGTCGAGACAAGTCTTTTACCTTCATGCTGAGATGCAACTTACGGATTGCCTTCTCGGAGATGTAGGATCTTGTTGATCCTGGGTCCAACATTGCACCAACTCGTGTTCGTGCGATCTCAACATCTGCAAACAACAACTCGCCCTTAGTCTTCGCCTTTCGAGCCCATGAGCCATGTAATGCTAGCAATTCGTTACCTAACTCATCAAGGGAGTCATCTAGAGAGACAGAACACAAGACAATGTCAGGGCGATCTGGATGATGGGCTAAGGAAGAATCATCTTCTGCCAATTGAGAAGAAGGGTAGGAAGGGGTCGTAGGCGCCTTACCTGTCTGTTCGTTCTTACCCTTAATCTCAGTAGGAGCAGATGTTACTCCTACTGGCTGTTCGCTTTTGGGTTCCGGATCTGAGGGCAGTAGGTGATCACATGTCCCGGTGTGCCGCACTTGAGACATTGCGCATTGTCCATGCGCTCCTGCCAAGTCTTTCTAGTCATACCCATTTCGACCCATGGCTTCCCATCAGCAATGCCAGGGTGCCATGGAAACGCTCTTTGTTTCTTCCCTCCTCTCCTGGGTGGTCCTCCCTTATTGGCCACAACAGCAGTGACTTCCCCCTTCCCGGAGTCACTGTTGTTATCATTCTCGTCGTTCGGCCACTTTTCCACTGTGTCGTCATCGAAGACGACAAGTGTGTGGTCTTGGCGCTTTTGTCGCCAGAGAACTCGTTTTCCGTTGTATTGTCTACCTCCTCCTCCTCTAGATTTGACTACCGCTGCATAGGAATTTTTGACTTGGGAAGTCATTTGTTCCCTCTGCAGTGCAAGGTCACGAAATAGCCTGTAGTTGTACTTACCGGATTTTGCTTCAGTGACTAAGTGTCCCCGGATGGGCTCAGGCAACGCGCGGGAATAGATGTACAACACTTGGCTGTCCTGCAGGTTCAATCCAGGAACCTGCAACAATCGGTCAACTTCTCGGGACAAAGCCTCAACTGACGTCCAATGCTTTTGACCAATTGACGTCAACTGGTCAAAGGCCTTGTCGGTCGTCGTCTTGTCGAGAAAACGGTCCCTGGTTTTCGCCAAGAACTTTTTCAGCGTCAGAGTCTTCGCCCACTCACCGATGTCTTCGAAATCCACAGCATTGGCCTCGACCAACACCCATTGCTTGGCCTCACCACCCATGCAAGAAGTGGTGAACGCGACTTGGGACTCCGGCTCAACCGGTGCGGTACTCACATACGTCTGGATTTCTGCAATCCACAGCAACAGACTTTCTTCTTTCTTGTTGCAAAACGTAAACGGCAACTTCATCTTCACCTTTTCTTTCTTCTTCGGTTATTCGGGTTCAACGCTTGTCTTTTCTGGAGTTTCTTTAGGAGTAGACTTAGAAGAATGAGAAGAGTGAGGAGTAGATGGTTGACTTGATCCATTTCCGCTGGATCCATTTCCATTGGATCYATTTCCATTTCCATTTGWCKTTATCACGGGACCAGCAGACTTTATTGCGTCCCCCATCAACTTCTTTACTTCTTTCTTCTCCTTCTTCTCTTCTTGTTCTTCTCCTCCCTGAATCTGATTCTTACCTTTCACAATATWAGCAATTGTTCTCAATCCAACAGCRATTTCATCCRACTGATTTTGYTGTCTATCAATCTTYTCTTCTAGAAAGGTAAGATATGTCACAATATGAGCCAACGTTTGTGACATGTCAGTCTGTTCACCGACTTCTGTTCCTATTACTTGCCTGATCTCTTTAACTCTTTGACCTCTTCGCTGTTCCTGTTCTCTTCTTCGAGATACTTCTTCTTTCTTTATTTCTTCCGCAGCCAAGGCCTCTCTAAGCTGCTGGATATTGGAATCAATCGATTCTTCACTTACTTCTGTCATTACTTCCCCCTTGCGAATAGCTTCCATGATCTCTTCCAGTTGCTTTAAAGCAAACTGGTTTAGAGCCTGTCGCCCTTGAGCAATTAGTTTGGAGGCCTCTATACCGGCTGCTACAACCTCCGCAGTCGTGATAGACTTCTTTAGGCGGTCTTCAACCCCCTGAAGATCGAAATTATCACGGATGTGTTGCTCGGCATCTGGTCCAGACAGCTGTACCTCCACCAGGAACTGATTGCACAAGGCTAACAGTTCCTCTCTCTTTCTGTCAGCCTGTCCCCTTGTCCTGAGTTCAGACGGTCCTTCCCCAACGGAAAGTGTGATCGGAAAAGAAAACAGGAAAGTAGTCAGGAATCTCGTCAAGATAGACTGTTGCAGACATTTCCAGAAGTAAGACATCTTGATAGAACAGAAACACGAAAATTCGTTGGCCAGATTATTTACCGCAAAATAAACAATAATTCATGGTCACCTGAATCAGCACGCTGTTCTACCGCAAAAGACAATAATTTCACGGTCACCTATCCGACACTCTATCTGAGTCAAAAAGAATAATAATAAGGAACAGAAGTTTTCTAATTCTATTTGCTGTTCTGTTTTCAATGTGATAACATCCTACTCTATCTCAGGTACCGCAACTCCAGGCCAGCATGATCATCAACAAACACAAGTGAGTACACAGGTACACCACACAGCCAGACAACAGGTAAGTCCGCCAACAAAAATCAATCAATAGTTAGCGTTTTCCCCTTCTTGCTGTTTCGTCCTTCTTTGTCCTGTGTGACCAGCACACAATCTAACGTTCGGCACCACAGCCACGTCAGTCTTCTTGCCGTGCCGCTTTAGTCATCAGAATGCTGTCCTCACTTAGGCATGATCGTGCCTGCCACGTGTCACCCCTGGCCTGCCAACTCAGCAACTCGATGAGTATGCCAGGTCAGCAGGTCAATCAATATCATCAATGGGGTGCACGGCAGCAATGTATGCTGAAATCGAAGTATCAGCCTGCCCCAAAGTCGAAGTTCCAACCTGCCACGTGTATCCCCTGGAGTGCCAACTCAGCACCGTAATCCAGTCAACATCATCGAGGGAGTACACGTCAGGAGCG